AGGGGGGGGGATACCGGCTTGGCTGGGATGGTACGAATTCATATTTAGGATGGACATGTGGTCAGAATCATATGTGATTTACAGCACGCGCGGGGGACCCGATACGTCCGGGGGGGGGGGGTAGAATCTATTATTTTTTTTAAAGGAGAATCTATGTGGTGCAATTAATTTTGACCGTCTTGAAGCTGTCCTCTCCACTGCTCGTGCAAACATCCCACCCTCCCACCCGCAACTTGGTCGCAAGACCTCTTCAGACAAGACCGTGACGGTAGGTACCACATGGCACTTGGCCACGACACCGATGCCGACGACGACAGCGACATTGACGACGACGGCGCCGCCGACAGCGACTGCGACGACACCGACGACGTCTCCAATGTTTTCGACGGCGACAACGACGACGACGACACCGACGACGACGACAACGACGCCGACGACGACGACGAAGACGACGACGACGTCGCCAACGGAGACGACGACGAGGGAGGAGAAAAAACGACGACGGCGACAACGACGACAACGACGATGGAGGAGGGAAGACGGCGACGACGCCAACGACGAAGAAGGAGGAAGGACGGCGACGCCGACGACGACAACGACGAGGGAGGAGGGAAGACGACGACGATGACAACGACGACGAAGACGACGACGACGGCGACGAAATGAAAGGACGACGACGAGACGCCGACGACGGACGACGACGACGAGGGAGGAGGATAACGACGAGGGAGGAGTGAAGACCACGACGACGACGACGACGACGGCGACGAAATAGGAGGGACAACGACGAGACGCCGACGAAGACAACGAGGGAGGAAGGACGACCACGGCGACAACGACGACGGAAACGACGACGACGCCAAGACGACGACAACGACGACGAGGAAAGACAGAAGACGACGACGGCGACGACGACGACGACGACGACGAGGGAGGAGGGAGGACGACGACGACGACGACGACGCAAGAGCGCGCGCGCACGCTTTTGTTGAAAATCCGTGTTGCGAAACCTTGGGTTCTTGTAGGTTTTTTGGACGCACGATTTCGAAATCCTTCCGAAACCGATGGTTTTTGAAGGATTTCGGCATACGCCCGCGACGACGCGCGCGTCTGCACTTCGTCCCATTTGTTGCACAGGATTCTCGCGACGGCACACGCGCAAGGGCGTTCGACAGATTTCGACATGCGCGCGCGCGAAGCCCGTTTGGTAGCATGTTGTGAAAATCTTGGAAAAAACCCATGGTTTTCTTAAGATTTCGCAAGAGCTCGCGCGGATTTTTTTTAGCAAATCAGTGTTGCGAAACCATGTACTTTTGTATATATATTTTTTTGGAAACTCGATTGCGAAATCCTTCCGGCACCGAAGGTTTTTGAAGGATTTCGGCATGCGCGCGCGACGACGCGCGCGCGTGCACTTCGTCCCGTTTTTTGCAAGGGATTCGTGAAAAAGTGCTATGTTAGAACAAAAAATGTCACCGCATAGTGTTTTACAAGGGAAACGCAGGGGGGGGGAACCCGGCGGCTTGGCTGGGATGGTACGAATTCATATTTAGGATGGACATGTGGTCAGAATCATTTGTAATTTACAGCACGCGCGGGGGTCCCGATAAGTCCGGGGGGGGGGTAGAATCTATTAGTTTTTCAGAAAGGAGATTTCGCTTGCCGAGCTCGAAGTTGTCAGCTCCACTGCTCGCGCAATCATCCCACCCGCCCACCCGCAACTTGGTTTGCAAAGCCCATGCTGGAGCGATTGCTATGAGTGCTGGGTGGTTGCTGGTGCATCTCTGCGGCTGCGCTAGCCCGCGCATGCTCGCGCGCGCAGCGGCCAGCGAGTTTGGCGCGACCGACGCAAAATCGGTGGCGCTGACCGCTCGGCACATCCCAACAGGCACTTCAGTGCGAGTCGGCGACTTGGGCGGGCGCGGTCTCATGGCAACGTCGACAACGGTATACGCGATGATGATAGTAGCGATGTTGGTGGCGATGTTGACAGCGACGACGGGGCAGCCAGTGACGACGCCGATGCTGATGACGCCGGCGACGATGACGGCGTCTTCGCGTCGGCGATGAAGGGAAGGTTCTGGCAGGAATTCGAAATGCGCGCGCGGCAGACGCGCGAGAGGGGCTTGCATGGCATTATTCGGCACGGATCGTGCCACCCCAGCGCGCGCGCAAGGGCGTTCGAACGATTTCGACATGCGCGCGCGCGAAGCCCGCTTGGTAGCATTTTCTGAAAATGTTGAAACAGTTTTTGGTTTTCCTAAAAACTCGCAAGCCCGCGCTTTTGGATGAAAATCCGCGTTGCGAAGCCTGGCGTTGTTTTATACGCTCGATCTTGAAATCCCTTCGACACCAAAGTTTAAAAACAAAAGGATTTCGGGCATTTCGTCTCGTTTCGTTTTCCGAAGGGTTTTTTTTGAAAACATGTGACTTATGATCGGCGAGTGCGCGCGCGTAGTATTTTTTGTCCCGGGGGGGCGAGGGGGCGCCGATGCCGGCCTGGCTCGGATAGTATGACTTCACAGGTGGGATGGGCATTGGGTTAGAAGCATGTGCGTTTTGCATCGAGTTCCGGGGAATCGATGAGTCGGGGGCGGGGGGGGGGGGGGCTATTTCTTCTGGTACAGGAGAATATATGGAGAGCCGTCTTGGGGGGCCCTCTTGGCGGGGCCCTCTTGGCGGAGCCGTCTCGCGGAGCCGTCTCGCGGAGGCTTCTCGGCGGGCAGCCCGGGGCGGGCCATCTTGGGGGGGCCATTTTGGGGGGGCCATCGTGGGATATGGCGATTGAGAAAATGCCAGCATTGAGTTCCACGGCTTGCGTTGCTTTTTGCATGGCTTGCAAAGTCATTGCGCTGCAACTTTACACCCCCCTGTCGCGCCCTGCGGGCTGGGCGAGACCCGCGCTTGAGCCGTGCATGTGGGCGTCTCAGTTGAAGATTATTGTCCGTAGTCTTGACGGATGGTCCCATTGCCCCAGCGAGCGGCGAATGGGCAGGCACCAGCGTTTCCAGCCCCGTTGTTCTCCGCGGCCATGTGTTTATGATCGAGTATTTTTCGGGGCAGCTGCGTTTGTCTCATCTTCTCTATGGCCCCCAAGAGGAGGCGTAAGGGGGCGGGCGATGGCGTCGAGCGGCGGCCGCCGATTTGCGCCCCCGCCGCCGCCGCGGGCCCCGTCGCCATGTCGATGGGCGCCGGGAAGGGCTCGCGCCAGGTCGGCCCGAAGCGGGAGTTCGGAGCGAGCTCGCCCGCGCCCGCCGACGGGGGGGCCTGCCAAGGCGCAGCCCGAGATCGGTTGCGGCATCTGCGGCGAGAAGAACGAGAGCATGGAGGCGGCGTGCAAGCGCGAGAAGTGCCCCGGGACGCACAAGTTCGCGCCCCCCTCCCGGGCCCGGGGCGCGACGACTGACAAGTGCCGCAGCAGCGAGAAAGTCAAGGTTGGCACAGACAGCGCGCATCAGATTCTTCAGAAGCAAGGCCGCGTGCACGCAGATATGGAGCACCAGGAAACAGCGGGGGAGAAGTCTGGCCTCTTCGAGGGCGCGGTCTGGTCGTCCGCCTGCCTGAAGGAGAGCGACGCGGTCGACCTCTACGCGAAGCGGCCGCGCGAGATCGACATGAAGCCGGCGAACGTGGCGGGCCAGAGCGGCGCCCTCGGGAAAATCAAGGTGAAAGCGGCTCTTGGCCAGCCGCGCACCATCGTGAATATCTACTGCCGCGTGGGGGCTCAACCGTTCCGCGTTGGCGACGCCTGCGAGCCGGAGTATGTTTTCCTCGGCGCGGCGCTATCCATTTGCTGGCCATGGTTGTGGACCTTTGCGCGGACCTCGAGGTTTTCTTCAGCGCGCTTTCTCGCGGCGACATCCTGCGCAGGATCCAGGGCGAGGCGACGGCTGAGCTCGCCGGGGCGAGGCGCGGGGCCCTCAAGTCCAGCGCTTCGGGTTCGGCGCCGTCGGCTCTGCCGCCGTCGGGGCCACTTTCGGAGCCAGCGCTGGCCGTTGGGGCTGCGGCTGCAGCGCCGACGGGGCCGACGGAGGCGGCGAGCGAGCCCGTTGAAAGCCCCGTGGGCCCGCCAGCCTCCGCGCCCGCGAAGATGAACGCGTCCTCCACGTCGCATCTCGAGGGCGCCTTGCCTGGCGGTGCTTCTTCGCTGCTGCAGTCGGCGGCGTCGGCGGCGGGCGGTGGCTCCGCGGCGGCCTCCAGCGAGAAGGGCGGCAACTGGAACGCTGGCGAGGGCATGGGGGAGTCGGGGGAAACGGACGACGAGGCGAGGGCCGCGTGGGCGGGTTTGTCCAAGCTCAGCTTGCGCGGGATGCGGGGGTACCTTGAAACGAGCATATAAGATAAAAGCACAGAACGCAGCAAACATGACATACTAACTGGTTACGCGTGCGCATGTAACCGCGCGCGCAATGCAAAACAGGCGGCCCCCCTCCAAATTTGAGCCGCCCGTGTAAAACATCAGCGGGGTGACTGCCCGACCCCGTCCCGCGCGTGAGCCGCGGGGGAACGCTACCTAGGGTGCGCAGCAGCCTTCAACGCCGAGCTGGCAATCCATGCGCACTTGCGAGATCCACAGACTGCTGGGGGGGTAGAAGCCGGGGCGCGCGGCGCGCCAGTTCAGGGGCAACGTTGCCAAGTTCACGGGCGATCCAGACCGCGGCGTGGCTTCGACGTGGATGAATCTGGCAGAGAAGCGCATGGTTGCTGGCGACCAGAAGGCGGAGGTCATCAAGGCGATGAACGGTTCAGAGTTGGCGCAACTCACAGAGGACATCGACAAGAACGCCCCCGAAGCACCGGCGGCGTTCCAGCGCGCGCTGTGGGGGAGGGCGCTCGAGGACTGGAAGGCTGACCAGTAATGGGCGTTCAAACCAGGAGTTGCGATCTTTATGTGTTTGCCGTGGGCTCGCGATGTCGGAGACGTTGGTGACGTTGCTACGTTCGAGTGCAAGTCCCCGACTTCAGCTTCGATGGAACTGCCTGTTGCGGAGGAGGGATCGATGTTCAAAGACAACTCGCGCAATCTCATCCCGCCGCGCTTCTTGGACTTCGGGAAGGACGGGCACCGGAGGACAATTGAGTTCGTTGCCGCTGCGAAGGGCGAAATACAGGCGTTGCCTCTGACTCGCGAGCTCAAAGTCGATGACGCCTCTGCGGAGGTCGCGGCGAGATTGCACATGATGAATGCGCTTGGGGGGCAGGCCGAAGACGCGCTACACCTGGCGGCAGTGGATCAGCCGGGCATCACTAAAACCACTGCGGTCGAGGGCGCCGTCTACGCCGTCGTGTCGGGTGAGCCCCGATGGAAGGTGAAGCTGAAGGACTACTTGAAGTACTCTCCCGAGGTGAAGAAGTGGCGCCCGACCATGGCGCAGCTTTCGGCGGCCCCGCAGTCCGAGGAGCCGCCGATTTACGAGGCCCTCAGTAGCATCATGAAAGACCTGCCCATCATCGAAGCGGCGCTCCCAGAGGTGGAGTGCAGCTCCCTCTTCCAGGTGTCGCGAGGTGCCTCGGGCCGCATCTTTGGGCATTTCGCTGCCCGCGCGAAGAACGATCCGCGCGGGGCAACCCACGAGTTCAGTGATAATGTGGGGGCTCTCTCGCAAAAGGCGCCTACCATCTTCGGTGTTTCCCCGGCCTGGATGACGCGGCGGCTTCGATCAACTCTCTCAGGTCTCAGAATGATGGGAAGAACCCCGTCGAGCACTTGCGCGCTGAGCTCGGAGTGTTAAGGTTAGACGCGCTCGTCCTTGCATTGGCTCAAACCGACCAGATCGAGGGCTTGAAGGACGTAGCGCCAGAACCGCCCATGCGGAAGTTTGTGTCTTTCACGAGACAGGCAGTGGAGTTGGTCACAAGGACGCGGATCACCGCCCTCCATGTCTATTGTGATCCGCTGCTCGATGCTTCGCTCAGTGGCTTTCTACAGAAAGCGCATGTTTGCAATGGTCAAGTCTCTCCAGCGGGGTCTGGTTTCAAGTTCTTCGAGCAGTTGATTGAAATATCGAGATTGGCCAAAGCCTTATTAGGGGCAGTGGCGACCATCGTGCCGACGGACCCGAACATCGGCTTCTCTGACGACGACGCCGCCGTTGCCGCCGATCATTCGGTGGGCGCTTTCTTTGGCCTGCTGACGCAGTGCGAGGCCGCGCAGGAGGCTAATCCCCAGAACGAGGCGGACATCGTGAAGGATGCGTTCATGAGGCAACTGGCGCCAGAGACGGAGGCCCTCAAGCGCGCGTTCGTCGGTGCGAAACGGGCTGCGCTGGAGGGGAAGTTCCTGACGGAGAACGAGAGTGTGCCGCTGAGCAAGCTCAAGGGCGGTCTCTTGGGCAAAGACTGGCGCGACGGGATCCGTCCATCGATTGCATTCGACGGCTTGCTTGAGTGTGCGCACGACTTCCCGAGCGATCTTGGGGCGATCTATGGGGCTTCTTGGGCCGTCTCGGGCCATCGGGCGGCCGAGAAAAAGCAAAACCCCGAATCCTTCCGAACATGTTGGGACATCATTGATTTGGGCCTATTCTGGCCATTCTGGAGGCCCTGTTGGACACTTCTGGGCCGTCTTGGAGACCTCTTCGGGGCCTGTTGGGCCATTTTAGAACCATCTTGCGCCGTTTGGGGCCGTCTTGGGGTGCTCCAGGGCCGTCTTGGAGGCCATCTTGGGCGTCTTCGAAGCGCCATCATGAGGTCATCTTCGAGGCATCTAGGCCATCTTAGGGCGACTTTGGGGGATCGTTCGGCCGTCTTCGCGTGTTGGAAGGCCGAAAAAACACATACCAACATCTTTCAAACACCTTAGGTAAATCAGCGATGTTGTCCTCTTCGGGCCCTCCTGGAGGACCTCCTAGGGGCGTTTTGGGTGTCTTGGCCCGTCTTGGGCCATCTTGGAGGCCTCTTGGGCGGACTCGGGGGCATCTTGGGGCAATCTATCTTGGGCCGTTTTTGTGGTTTCTTGGGGCTGTCTTGGCCGTCTTGGAGGCCATCTTGAGCCGCCAATTAGAATTTATTGTGGGATTGCGGTGGTTTGTGGTGCTTTCCGCGTGGCCGGCGCAGTGGGCCAGAGCTCCAGGGGAGAGTTCCTTCGGAAAAAAAAACAGACGCAGTAGGGCTCAGCACGCCGGGCACCCCTGTGGCAAGACCACGTGGAGCGGCGAATCGAAGACGCTTCATACCGTCCATACTCCAGCCTCCATCCTCCTCCTGGACTCCTCCCTCCTCCTCTTTTTCTTCGGCCGTGCCCCCACCCGATCCTTCAACACCGTCGTCGTCACCGCCGTCGCCGCCGCCGACGTTGCCGCTGCCGCCGCCGCTTTTGCCGTCGCAGCCTCCGCTGCCGCCGCTGCCATTGCCGTCGTCGCCTTCGCCGTGGCCCCCGCCGCCGCCGCCGCTGTCGTCGTCGTCGTCGTCGTCGATATCGTTGCCACCGCCGCCGCCGTCGCCGCCGTCGCCGCCGCCGCCGCCGTCGGCGTCGTCGTCGTCGGCGTCGTCGTCGTGGTGGTCGTCGTCGCTTCCCGTGCAACGCCATGCCTACGCCTGGCGCCCTCGAGCAAGCGTGGTCGCGGCGTGCGCGCGCGCGAGGACCAGTCCCGCCGGGCTTCCGAGGTGGAGGCCCAGGGCAAGAGGTTCCTCGGCATGGGGGTGTCCGGAGGCGCTCGGGTGGCGGGGCGGAGAGAGCCCCAGACACTTCTGATCGGCGGCGTCTCGGATCCGAGTTGTGGGCAGGCTGCGCTGGGACACAACCGCAGCTAATTGCGGCATGCGGGGAAGGGGGAGGGAGGAGGACGAAGAGGGTCCGACCGCGCGCGGCCAGGGGGCAATCAGAGCGTGAAGTTTTTCGGGATGTACCGGAGCAGGTCCGCCGAAGAGCTGGAGGTGCTTCCAGTAGGCCGACACGCCCACGAGTGCCCCAGACATCCACTGGTGTGCGATAGTCGGGACGGAGGTGTTCACTGTTTTAGGGCTCCATGGGGTCCTTTGCTGGGCCCCAGGGCCATCCGAGAATGGCCCAGGACGGAAAACTCATCTTGGCGTGAGGTTCGGGACTTCTGGGGGCCCCGCAGTGAGAATCTCATTATATCGGACGTCTTGGGCACCGGAGATCAGGGCATTGCAGACCAGGACTCTGCAAATCGGCATCGCGTGACGGTGACCTTTCGATGGGATGTTTTTTGGTGCGGGCCCCCGCGGCCCCCCCCAGGATTGGCTCGCGCGTTGGGGTTCGGTCCCCCGCGCTCCCCAGATGCCGCGAGCGGGAGATCTTGGTGAGAGCAAACGCGACGGAAGGTTTTGGGCAGGTTTCGTTTTCCGCGGGCCTTGACCGGGCCCCAGGGGCCGCCACAAATTTACCTGGTTTCAAAACTCGGTCCGATGGAAATCCGTAGCCATTGTGGCTCAAGGCTCGCAGAAATTGTGGCGCGGGGCGCTTAGTGGGACGGAATGGATCCTGCGAGCAACGATTTGGAAACGAACAGCCCCAAGGTGTTCACCAATGAGATCGAGCAGGGGAACGCCCTGGTCAAGACCGCAGCTTTTCTGGTTGGGCTCGCATCATGCATCAGTGGGATTCTCCAGCTGATCGACCTAGGCTTCCTGTTGACGAATTTTACCTTCTACCTGCTCTCGGTCTACCAGGTCTTCTTCGCCATCACGACCATGCTCTTCGAGGCGAAGCCCGACTGGGTGGTGAAGATCCAGGACACCATCAAGCTTCCCGTGAGTTCTTACCAGGACACACTGATGAACAACGCAGCCTTTCTCACCACCACTGGCGGTCGTGGACTGTTCTACGTCTTCCTCGGGTCCCTGTGGTTCGGCTTCCCAGAAGGTACACACGCGTCTTTCTTGACGTTCCTGACTGGTCTTGCGCTATTGGTAGTAGGTATTGTACACATCGCCATGCATTTCGGCATCATGCCGCACCACGTTGTCGCGAAGGTCCAGGCAACGGCCCAGGGGTCCTACGACCACATCGCAGGCAGGAGCTGAGGCGGGCAGGCGGCGCGCGGTTTGGAGGGCAGGAGCCGCAAGAGACGGGCTCCAGCCGAGTCGCCCCAGGCTGAGTGTCTCCAGCCTGCCGGCATCTCTCCCTTCCTCCGCACCCCCCTCCCCGACCCCTCACGTAGGCACTTAGGCATTCTCTCCTTGCCAGGCGCCCGGCGACGGTGCGAGCGCCCGAGATCTGGAAGGGCGCCCGGCAGAGCGCCCTGGCGCCCGCACGCTGTGCAGTGGCGCTGCGCTTCTCTCGACACCCGAGGCGGGCCCGACTAAAGGTTGAACCCGCCGCTGTCCGCCAGGTCGTGGCAGACAAAAAAAAAGAAGATCGGTCCGATGGAAAGGGTCGAGGCCTCTTGGGTCGGACGAGAAAGCGGGTGGGATCGGGAAGAGGGGGGGGCGAATTCTTCTGCGCGCGGCTGGTGTCGGCCCCTTCTCGTGGTCCCGTTGATGCATTGGGCGCTTCTCCCGGCCGGCCACGGGCCGATTCCTCGCCCAGGGCGACGGGATCTACGCGCATCCGCTGTTTCAGGCCTGGGCCACCCTGCCCTTCTGGCACGGCCAGGGACCAGAGAGGCATCTACATCGCTCCCAGACCCATGATGGGCCAGGCCTGGGGCAGTGGATATGTAAAGCTCTCCTTGCCCAATATATATATATATATATATATATATACACACCTATATATACATATATATATATATATATATATATATATATATATATATATATATATATACACACACACACCGGGCTACAGGGCCAGGGGCTCCCTGGCCGGGACCGCAACCCCCCATGGCGGGATCGGGCCTCCGGGAGCGCCCTTGTCCGGCCCCAAGAGCCCCAAGAGTGCCCCAAGAGCGCTCCACGACGAGCCCAGCAGGCTCCAAGAGGCCCAAGAGGGCGCCAAGAGGGCCCCAAGATGCCCAAGATAAGCCCAAGACGGCCAAAGAGGCCCCCAAGACGCTCCAAGAGGCCTCCAAGAGGCCCTCCCAGAGGGCCCCAAGAGGCCAACATCGCTCATTTTACGAAGGTTTTGGACACATTTTGCCTTTCCCGCCTTTTCAGCTTTCCGACGCTCCACGACGGCTCAAAGGCCCCCCGCGGACGCCCCAAGACAGCCCGAGAGGCCTCCAAGAGGGCCTCAAGACGGCTCTGGAGGGCCCCAAGACGGCCCAAGACGCGCCCAAGACGGGCGAAGAGAGGCCCAAGACGGCCCCAAGAGGGCCCCAAGAAGGGAACCGCGAACCGGAAATTCGAGCCTCCCGCCTCCACAGGGCCCCCGGAGGCCCCAAAGGGGCCCCGGGAGGCCCCAAAGGGGCCCCAAGAGGCCCCAGGAGACCCCCAAGAGGCACCCAGGAGGCCCAAACTAGGCTTCAAACAGCCCCGAGGAACCTCACAACGGACGGTTCGGACGAGCCGCACTTCGGACCGCCGCCGCCGCCGGTCCAAGAAAACGGCCTCCTGGACGCCATGCGCGCCGTGGCCCTCCTGCGGTGGCACCTCCCGCCCCGGGCCAGCGCAGAGGCCCTCGGATTCCAGAGAGAATTCTCCGTCGTCGGCGGTGTCGCCGTCGTCGGCGTCGTCGTCGTCGACGCCGTCCCCGCCCTGGTCGCCCCTCGGGTCTTGGGCCGTCTTGGGCGGTTTGGGGGGCTGTCTGCGGACCATCTTCGGCTGCCTGGGGGCCTCTTGGAGGCCTCTTGGGGGCCTGTGGGGGGCCCCTTGGAGCATTCTGGATGCTTTGGGGGGCCTTCTTGGGGTCTCCTAGGGCTCTCTTTGGGGAGGAAGGCTGGAAATGTCAGGTCGGGTACCCCTGTGAGTTCTTTCTTGGAGCGGTCCTGGGGCCTTCTTGGGCTGTCTTGGGGGCCTCCAGGTCACTCCTGAACCCCACTTGAGCCGTGTTGGGGCCCTCTTGGAACTCTCTTTGGCCGTCTGGTGCGATCTTGGGGCCCTCTGTTACCCTCTTTGGCCGTCTTGGCGCGAGCTTGGAGGCCTCGAGGCGAATATTATAAAAATGCACGCTTTCCGAAGGGAATGGGGCCATTTTTGCTTCTGCGGGCCCTCTTGGGGGTCCTCTTGGATGCCTCTTGGGCCGTCTTGGGCGGTTTGGGGGGCTGTCTGTGGACCATCTTCGGCTGCCTGGGGGCCTCTTGGAGGCCTCTTGGGGGCCTATGGGGGGCCTCTTGGGGCATTCTGGATGCTTTGGGGGGCCTTCTTGGGGTCTCCTAGGGCTCTCTTTGGGGAGGAAGGCTGGAAATGTCAGGTCGGGTACCCCTGTGAGCCCTTTCTGGGAGCGGTCCTGGGGCCTTCTTGGGCTGTCTTCGGGGCCTCTAGGTCACTCCTGAACCCCACTTGAGCCGTCTTGGGGCCCTCTTCGAACTCTCTTTGGCAGTTTTTATTGGGTTTCCGCGTCCTAGGCCTCGGAGGCCGCCGCCTCCGACCCCCCGTGGGAGGACGGGGCGGCCGGGGAAGTCCAAAATAGTCCAGGAGGGCCTCCAGAGGCTCCCAAGACGGCCCAAGCGGGCCCCGAGTCGCCGAAAGACCGCTCCAGGACGCCCAAGGTAGGCCCAAGACGGCCCGAGAGGCCCCCCAAGGCACTCCACGACGCTTCAAGACACTTCTCCACAGCGCTTCAAGAGGCCGAAATCGTTAATTTTAAGAAGGTTTTCGAGCGATTTTGGCCTTCCAGCCTTTTCGGCTGTCCGACGTGCGCTCAAGAGGGGACCACGACTCCAAAATTCGACCCTCCCGCGTGAAGAGTGCCCCAGGAGGCCCCAAGGAGCCCCCAAGAGGCCCCAGGAGGCCCCCACGAGGCACCCAGGAGGCCCAAACGAGGCCTAAAGAGGCCACAAAACAGCCCCGAGGAGGCCCCACAACGGTCCCAAAACGGCTACCGAGAAGCTGCGAAACTGCCTTCACGACGTCCCCGACAGGCCAACCACGAGATCCAAACCAACACCCATGAGGCCTCTGACCCACCACCCAGGGCACTGTGGCGGGAGCAGTGACAGCACTTGTGCACAGCATGTTCCGGCGGGAGCCTTCCGGAACACGCTGCAGGAGGAGGAGGAGGAATATCAGGAGGAGAGAGAGCTGGAGTGGGCGGAGGAGGAGGGGGACGAGGAGGAGGAAGAGGCCTCCAAGACAGCTCCAAGATAGCCGAAGAGGCTTCCAAGAGGGCCCTGGGCGGCCCGCGAGGGCCCCAAGGCGGTGCCTGAGGCGCCCAAGAAGGCCCGAGAGAGCCCCAAGACGGCCCCAAGAGAGGCCCAAGAAGGGAAACTCGAACTGAGAATCCGAGCTTTCTACCCCGAGAGGTTCTCGGGAAATCCCAAGAGGCCCCCAATCGGATCCAAGATGCCCCCAAGAAGCTCCCAAGAGGGCCGACGAGGTTCCAAGAGATCTCCCAAGGTGGCCCCAAGAGGCACAACTCATTGTTTTACGATTGGATTTTGACGGGTTTTAATTTTTTCGGCCTTTGGCATCCCGATGCTCCAAGACGGCCCAAGAGGCTTCCAATACCGCTTCAATATAGAGGAAGAGGCCTCCAAGAGGGCCCCAAGACGGCCCGCGAGTGCCCCAAGACGGTGCTTGAGGCGCCCAAGACGGCCCGAGAGGGCCCCAAGAGTCCCAAGAAAGTTCAAGAAGGGGAACGCGACCCAACAGCAGAGCGTTCCCCCCAAAAGGCCCACAGGAGGCTGCAAGAGGACCCCCAAAGCTTCCCGAGGGCCCAAAAGGCCTTTAGGAGACGTCCAAGAGGTTTTAAAATAGCCCAAAAGTGCCCTCGATGCGTCAAAACTGCTTCCAGGAGGCCCCCGGGAGGCTTCCGGATTGCCTCAATCTGACCGCAGGTGGCCTCAAGTCGGGCCTCCACGCAGCCAAGACGGCCAATGACGGCTTCAGATTGCAGAGCCGATGCCCCCAAGGGACCCTCAGACGCCCCCCCAAGAGGCACCCAAGAGGTGCCTCCAACAGCCAGTTGACGAAGCATGCGGAACACCCCAGAAGCTCCTCAGATGCCGTCGCGCGCCTGTGCTTGATAACGTTGTCCAAGATCGTCCAGCGCCCCCCCGGCCTGGGCTAGAACTTGAACGCGCGCGAAGCGCGCGCGATGGTTCTAGTATATATAGATATGTACATACATATGTATTTATATATGTACATACATACACACATATATATATATATATATATATATATATACACATATTTATATATATACATATACATATGTGTATATACATATATATATATATATATATATATATATAAGTACATCCGTAAGGGCTTCGCCCCATGCCGCCGGCCCCCTGTCTCGGATACTGGGAGATGCAAAAGCTAAATCATGAGGTCTGGGCGCTGCCGTGAAGCAGTGTCGGGAACTGTTTGTTTTTCGACCCTGACCCTACGGATCTGCGTCACGAGTGCCACAGAATTTCAGACATGTGGCATATCTCCTCTGTTTTTGGACCCTGACCCTGCCGATCTGAGTGAGGGGTGCCACCGAATTTTCAGAAATGTGGCAAATCCCATGTGTTGTTGGACCCTGACCCTGCCGATCTGCGTGAGGGGTGCCGCCGAATTTTAGAAATGTGGCAAATCCCATGTGTTTTTGGACCCTGACCCTGCCGATCTGAGTGAGGGGTGCCACCGAATTTTAGAAATGTGGCAAATCCCATGTGTTGTTGGACCCTGACCCCGCCGATCTGCGCGAGGGGTGCCGCCGAATTTCAGAAATGTAGCAAATCCTTTGTGTTTGTGCACCCTGACCCCGCCGATCTGCGCGAGGGGTGCCACCTAATCTTAGAAATGTGGCATACCTCTTGTGTTTTTGACCCTGACCCTGCCGATCTGAGTGAGGGGTGCCACCGAATTTTAGAAATGTGGCAAATCCGATGTGTTTTTGGGCCCTGACCCCGCCGATCTGCGTGAGGTGTGCCACCGAATGTCAAACATGTGGCAAATCCTTTGTGTTTTTGGGCCCTGACCCCGCCGATCTGCGTGAGGGGTGCCAGCAAATTTTAGAAATGTGGCAGATGCTGTGTGTTTTTGCACCCTGACCCCGCCGATCTGCGTGAGGGGTGCTACCGGATTTGAGAAATGTGGCAAATCCCATGTGTTTTTGGACCCTGACCCCGCCGTTCTGCGTGAGGGGTGCTAATTCTTAGCCACCCCAGCAATTCAGAGCACACGCTCAAGGCGTGGTACAAATGCCCGTTTTGGGCCTCCCCCCTCGCGCGGTCCATCAACAAGGAACAGCAAGCAGCAAGAAGTCAACAAGGAACAGTAAGCAGCAAGAAGCAGAACTGCAACAGTGGAAACTAGAAGCTGCAACTGGCACAGGA